GAGAGAGAGAGAGAGAGAGAGAGAGAGAGAGAGAGAGAGAGAGAGAGAGAGAGAGAGAGAGAGAGAGAAGGGCTAGGGGAAAGTGGGGGCCGGGGACGATAAATGCGCAGCACATGGCGCGTTCTTTGTATCCTGTTTTCCTTTCGTCGCCGTCTTTTCTTTGTGTGCATGTGTTTGTGTGTGTGTGTGTGTGTGTGTGTGTGTGTGTGTGTGTGTGTGAGAGAGAGAGAGAGAGAGAGAGGGAAGGATGTGTGGAGGGGAAAGGGGGGAGGGTTCAGAAAAGTTGGTGGGTTGCAGCACATGGCTGTGCAACGTGGTGCGATTTTCTTTTTGTTTTTTGTTTTTTCGTCAACTTCAAGGCATGGGCGGCATGAGAGAGAGAGAGAGAGAGAGAGAGAGAGAGAGAGAGAGAGAGAGAGAGAGAGAGAGAGAGAGAGATCGCATCGATCAGTTGTCTCCACTACGAATAAATTCTGTTATATTTGTTTTCTTTGTGAGCAAAGCCGCAACAGGTCATCTAGTCTGCAATAGGATTGAATATGCTTTGATTTCGGATCTGCTCAACTGGGTGGAGTAGGGGCTGTTTCTGTGAAAATTCAAAACACAGTCACCGTGCACTGTGAGCGCATATGCCCGTGATGCGCGCATCGCTGTTGGCTGCATGGCGCTTTGCGGACCACATTGCACGGCGCTCTGGAAGTCTGATTCACTCCAAACCATTCACCAAGGCACCATAACCGAAAGTGCATCGGTCTGTTGATGTGAACAGGTTATTGCCAAGGGATGAGCGACTTGCTATCACCATTTGTGGCCATGATTGAGGATGACGCTGATGCATTTTGGTGCTTCGAGCGGTTCATGCAGAAAGCGGTAAGCGTGAAAATTATGCCTCGTGTGTGTCTTGATCCTGTTGTCCCCGCCTCCCCCCCCTCCCCCTTCCCTCCTCTCGCTCTCGCTCTCTCCCCTCCCCTTGGAATGTTCCCAGAAGGCAGGTCTGTAAAGCACTTAGGTCTAACTCACCTATCTCTTTATTTCAGTCACCATCCTTAATGTATATGGTATTGCGCTCTAGTGTACATGGTATTAACATGCATCATATCCTTTCAAAATGGGGAATGGGCTGGAAACACTGGAAGCCAAGTGTTCTAGCGGGGTTAGAGAGGCAAGATGCAGTTGTAGCAAACAATAGCGCAAGCCAGTGAAGAGTGATCGAGAGGAGATCATCAACTGGGGATTGAGACAGCTATTGTCGAAAGGGGAGCAACCTCGACTGTGCCCTTCTCGAAAGGAGTTTGTGAAAGTGGAACCAACCTCAATATCTCGTTGAGGGTTAGCATCTGCATCTTATGCGGTCAGCTGGCCGTCTGCTTCCAGTTCATGCCACGTTGGTGGGCATCACTGCGTGGTGCTGACTGGCTGCCTCAGTGCTTGCAAAATTTGCTTGCTCAATGGTAATGGCGGACATTAGCAGTATTATGTTAGCATATGAGATTATTGACCTTTCCCAGACCATTTTGACGGAATGGTCGAGGGTACTTTCTAGCTGTGTAATACCATGGAAGCCTCTCATAACCTGTCCGTTATGTCACGGTCATCTTCTGCAGGTGAATAAACCTTGTCAGGCACTTGTGTCTTTTGTCAAGTTGTGTGTTTTTTGTCTTTGATGTGCAATCACTGCGGTGCCTGTTACTTTGGAGATCAGATGCAGTTGCTGTTGTCACATTCTTAGTGCTTGTCGTGTAGTACATTAATTTGGCCTTTCCGTCACTTTTTAAGTGCTGGTGCGACCATAACATGTGAGGCTGTGAGTGGATGTTTTATGAATGTTCTTGTAAAGTACATATACATGGGAAGCTTGGCACTTAGTGAGATAGTGAGATACTGGGGCAAGGGGTCTTTTTTGTTTTTGGACGAAGGCCGGGTCTGGCGTGCCAGGGGGGGTGGTGATACGAGCAGCGCCATCTATCGTGCAGCCATGGACGCCCCTGTCTATTGGTGGGGAGCATCACCTGCTGGAAACCAGGTGCACTGTCCCACGGCATAACAGTACGTGATCGGGCCATCATCCGATTTTGGCTGAGTCAGTCCTCCCTATTTCCGCAGATACCCATAGTCCTCTCAGGGGAAGTCGGTCTACCCCCCTTGACGCATACCTGAAGTAATCCGAGTGATGCAATGAAGCTAAATGATGATAAGGACTCAAATGGACAATGCAGCATCAGTGAAGCATCAACAAGCCATGTACATCCATATACAGTATTATACATACAAAAATAGTACAATATAGTGCAGTGGAAGGCTCAAAGATATGACCTGACCCGTCGGACACTGACTCGACTGAGCCCATCACATACCACGCATGTGAGAGAGAAGGGAGGGACCACACGCGTGGAAGAAAGGTCCCCCTTGAGCACGCACATGGGAAGAAAGCATGGATGAGGGGATGGAGGACGAGCAAGACAAAGATGGAGATGAGGGAGTAGACCAAGATCCTGATAGCGAAGCTCAAAAATAGTCTCCCTCTCGAATGTCCCATCGATATCTGCCCCTGCGATGTCAAATTAGATCGTGGGCCCCATAGCCACCTCTGCCTGGCTGCCACGTACTGCCGGAAGAAGAAGAAGAAGGAGGGTATGGAGGACAGGAGCAGGAAGAAGAAGATCTCCTCTACCTCACCTGCAGGTCACTGCTGCCACGTACTGATGAGCTGGTACACCTCTTTGTGCTGCATGTCGCTGGCGAAGGAACCATCTATGGCCCCCAGGTACACTATCTGCTCCTCGCAGGCACCTCTACCTCTACCTCGAAGGAACCATCTATGGCGCCCAGGTACACTATCTGCTCCTCACAGGCACCTCTACCTCTACCTCTAAGGCTAACGCAGCGCTGAATGTCGCGCTGTCGGAGGGCGCGGTGTCCCAGCCCTCTGCGGTGTACTGGGCACACCTTGCACGTGGACTGCTTCTCCTCTAGTGTACCAAGCACATGTTGCGCCTGGACTGCTTTTATTCCGTGGTGTACCAGGCACCCTGCTCAGGACCATTCGCTGTGTACCTACACGCTGTTCTTGGACCGGTCCGGCTGGCATTCCCACTGGCAAAAGGAGGGGGTGCGGCACTGGGCTTTCCTTTGGTCCAAGCAGGCTTGGCGCCCTGCTGTACAGCAGAGCACAACCGGCCTGTGCTCGTGGTAGCTGCCAGGCTTGCCCTGGGACGTGAAAGTAGAGGGACTGGCGTGGTCTTTTCTAGTGCGCCCCGGGCTCCCTCTGGTCAAGTTATGGGACAGGTACGGGAGCTGCAATCACGATCAGAAAGGTAGAAAAGAAAAAGAAAGTGGAGCCCCTTGTTTTACAGTTGCGCCCTGATCTAGGCCTCTGTCATATTCTCGCTTAATCGGGCAGTCCCAAGTGATCGCGACAATACGATTTTATGAGTGGAAGTTTAATCTGCTTTTCCTTTTTATTTTGTCTTTTAAAATTTAACTCCTGCTTTTTGTCGCTTCGCGGGGGAACGAACGGTTCAGTTCTGAATTTTGATTACAGATGGGCAGCCTAGACTGCCAGACCCTTCGTGTCTCAGTTACCGCGGGTGTGACCTGCTAGGTCTCACAAATTTAGGGTCTCAAACTAAAGGAGACCCGATTTTATAAGTGACCTGCCATGGCCGCTTTGGTAGAAGGCTTATCCACCCCCGCGGAAGGTCATAAGCCCTCCCCTTGCCATCGGACACGGGTACCCATTAGTGGTAGTCCGATGACCCTCTTTAAAGGAGGGTGGCTGCTAGTCGGTATCCCATTATGGGACCACTGCGCGCCAGCCTGTAGTCGTTTCAATCTCAGACTAAAGGAGTGTGGGCGTCTATGACAAATGTACTCCTACTAGTGACCATTGAATTGTAAAAGTCTCTTGAAATTACTTTACTATTTTGTGGTGTTTTCTATTTTATTTACTGTGGTGTTTTCTATTTTATTTATTGTGGTGTGTTCTATTTTATTTACTGTGCTGTTTTCTATTTTATTTACGGTTGCGAGGATCTGCGTCCTCGGCAGGCCTAAGGGCCCGGTTACAGTGGTGCCCGCCCTAAGTGAAGGCGGGCGGGCCTAACATTTCACAAGAGGCCTTTGTCTGTCAATGTCATATTTGGGGTACTGGCAGTTGTGACACGCCAGTTGGTTGAGAGAAACACAGGCCGAGCAACAAAGACATTTCCACGGCCTATCAGGCCTTTGCAAAGAATGCAGGCCCTGGGCGTGAATCGCAGCCTCATACATTGACAGTCGGGAGGCCCGACCGAATGAGGCCCAGACGCTGCAAGTAGCACGCAGCATCCTGGGGCCTACCGGAAGCTTCTGGGCCCAGGCCAGTGCAGCCAGGCTGTGCAAGCAAAGAGCTCTCCCCTGGCATTGGCATTCGGTCACTTGCTGGTTGGCAGCAGCGCTGCTGGAGCAATTGCTCGCGGGCTGGCTACCGGCATTGGAGCAAGAGGCTGCACACATGCGATCGTGTGTGGAAGCAGGGCGCTGCTGAGGGCAGCGCCATAGCCAGCCTCCATGGCGGGCTGGGCTTGGATGCACAGTGAGGCGCAGGGGTTGTCTTCGGGTATAAGAGAGGACAGGTGTGGGTGTTTAGTCAGGGATGGGCGAAGAATGATGATGATGATGATGTGAGGGCACTTACCTTGTATTG